TTTAGGGAGACTTTTCTTGAGCAGATTGTCTCCCACCACTGGAGTGCGAGCTCTCTGAGAAGAGGAACTTCCCCTGTCTCCTTCGCTGCGGAATTCACAGCTCCTAGGCCCTCATCAGTATTTGGGAAATGAACAAATGCATTGGTACAGTTTGGATCTGGGAGACAAGGGAGAAGATTCAGGGTTTTCCAACCAGATCTGAAGCCCTGTCCTGCTCTTGCTTCACCCTGATCCTCAGTCCAGTGACTGGAAACTACTTCCGGTGGCCAGACCTTTCTCAGGGTGTTTATTCATTCACCTGCCAGCACTCCCTTTTCCAGAGCTCTGGTCACTGTTCAGGGCTCCTCTGACTTCAACTTGGACCCCTGGTGATGACAAGTTGCCCAGCCCAAACTCTTCCTGAAGATTGTTGGATTCTGTGAGCATTTGACTCTGCCCACCCATCTAAAACCCCTCAATCCAGGTCTTTTCTCCCATTTCCCTATCATCCTATTACAATTAAACTACAAATGCTTGCTTGACCTCAAATTCCAAACACAGCCATTGGGTTTTGGCATTCACTGGGAGGGCACTAGCATTAGACTGAAATGTATACAGATTATGAAAAAAGAGCTTAGATTTTTCCTTTATCTCTGATATTTGCTGTGGGAAACATCTTCAGAGGTGTCTGCCTGAGTGCCAGTAATATTGTCCAGCTCATTTCTGTGGCCTCAAACGCATTTTGAGATTCTAAAACTGGAAAACATAACTCAGAGTAACTTAAACCTTTATTTAAGCACCATTAAAACTTCCATACAGGGCTTCCCTGGTGGCGCAGTGGTTGAGAGTCCACCTGCCGATGCAGGGGACGCGGGTTTGTGCCCCGGTCCGGGAAGATCCCACATGCCGCGGAGCGGCTGGGCCCGTGAGCCGTGGCCGCTGAGCCTGCGCGTTCGGAGCCTGTGCTCCGCAACGGGAGAGGCCACAGCAGTGAGAGGCCCGCGTACCGCAAAAAAAAAAAAAAAAAAAAGAAAACTTCCATATAATGTGCAGATTTGGTAGAATATTTATATCTACCATCCATCCTGTTCTCAGAATGGTGCTTCTAGAAATGTTCCTTTGGCAAAGAATTTACTATATCCCATTCAAGCAATGCACAAGTCATCAACTGGCAACCTTCCATGAAGAATCTATAATGGGTAACATTCTCCCTTTTGAATATGGGCAGGCATCCCTACTATATAATTAGGCTTATTCATTGTATATTTATCACCTGATTCTATTCTAGGAATTGAATGTGAGAAGCAGTATCTTCCCCCAGCCTTCATAGCTAGGCAGCCAAGTGGCATAAACATGACAAACAATCCAGATAGAATGAACATCCACAGCTCACATTAAAATGTACAGGGTCACAGCTGCCTTTGAAGACCAGCCCTTAAACGTCTCTAACCAGTGATGGATAGCCAGGCCTTGCTCTTGCATCGATTCATCTTGGAAGTGGAACACTTTGACCCGTTCTTATCTTAGGCTAGGTTGCAGAAGACTCCTAGTGCCCTCGTTATAGCTGGTGTCCTTCCAAAAAGGACTGCGATCTTCTTAGACTCAAATTTATGGACAAACATGCCAGTGCAGTTCTGGGTTTCTCAATCTGTTAAGTCTTACTTTATCCTAATGGGTCAAGTGCGCTTCCCATTTATTACAATGGCTTGCCATATAAGGGTGATTTATTCAACAAGCATGTATTAAACTCTTTATATGGATCAGATACAACTGCTGGTGCCATGAAAACAAAGATGTAAAGTGGTTCGTTCAATCAAATGGCACATTTTTTACTGAGTGCCTACGAAGTGCTTGGAAATGAGGATGCATAGGCAAGTAGGACAGATAGGGACCGGCTACCCTCAAGAAGCTTATGATACAGTGGGGGAGCCTAGGTAATGAGCAAATAAATAGATAAAATAGTTTAAAACTGTGATGAAAAGGAAACAGATAAATTGAGTTGGGGGGTGGGGTGGGAGGATGGACACAATTTAGTTCATAACACTAATCCAAAAAGAGAAAGAGACAAAGAAAATTTAAAGATCTATCTCCAGTCGCATAATCTTTTCTAGGGCTAAAAATAAGAGTCAGAGTTGTTCCAATTAGCGCCTGTAAGAAGTTCAGTAGCCTTCCTAGAGCAGCTGTTCTTTTCCTTGCCCTAAGGTCTCTTGGGTACCAGGAAGGTGGGGCTTAGTTTTCACTTCCAAGGTGAAAGCCCTCCCACGTTTTCTTCCTATTTTGACTCCCTCAGGGTCTTTACACCTAGTCCAGACTCCAGAACTCAGGAAAGGTTGCTCCATCTCTCTTTTCTGGAACCAGGAACTTTGATCTCACCTTTCCCAGGCAGGTAAACTTGATCCCTATACTTGCTCTTCAAGTGCAAGTCTGAGTACAACCCTTGGGAGTCCTGAGGCCCTTTCAGAGAGTCCATGAAGACAAACTCTTCAGATGTTATTTTCCTTTTGGGGAATACTACGGAGCTCTTTTGGTATGGTATGACATGTGATACCACAATGGACTGAGTGCAGAAGCAGATATGAGAATCTAGTTACCTTTTATTAAGCCAGACATTAAAGAGATTTGCAAAAATGTAAAACAATGCCACTCTTCTCACTAAATTGTTTCTCAAATTATTTTTTATAAAAATGTTATTTATGTTTATATAAAGTTATTTATTTATTTTTTTGACTGTGTTCGGTCTTTGTTGCGGTGTGTGGGCTTGTCATTGCAGTGGCTTCTCTTGTTGCGGAGCAGGGGCTCTAGAGCTCAGGCTCAGTAATTATGGCACATGGGCTTAGTTGCTTCGCGGCATGTGGGATCTTCCTGGACCAGGGCTTGAACCTGTGTCCCCTATATTGGCAGGCGGATTCTTAACCACTGCGCTACCAGGGAAGTCCTATTATTTACGTTAACGTGTTTACATTTATTATTTTCAAATGAATAAATACATATTTCTCAACTCCCCACTTTTAATTTCTAATACAGTTAATATCAATAGATATACCTCATAAAAACAGAAGCTTTTTGCAGTCATCGACAATTTTTAAGAGTGTAAAGGAACCCTGAAATCACAAAGTTTGAGAACCCCTGTTTTACAGTCTTCAACCTGAAGAAGAGGGAAAGCACACGTACAGAATTATGAGTGAACTTTCACTCTTTATTCATTAGTCCCCCTAATATTAATGGGACAGGCACTATGCCAGATACTAGTGATAAATCCAGAGTCCCTTCAAAGGAATAAACGTAATGGGGGAAATACATGAGTAACTGGGCTTTTCCAGTACTGGATGTACCAATAACACAGGTGCCCTGAATCAGACATTTAATCCAGTCTCAGTCAGGGAAGACTTCCTGGAGGAGGAGGTGTCTAGCCCGGCATCTCAAACATGGGCAGTAGGTGCAAAACACGGTTCAGTAGAGACTGTGCTGAGAGAAAAAGAAAGGTTTCACAGAGGCCAGGATGTCTAGGCTGAATCACTGTATTTCTTTTCCAAATAACAAAGGGGCCACAAATTCAAAGTCAACCTCCTTAGGCACTTTGAAAAAAAAGACCTATTAGGGCTTCCTTGGTGGCGTAGTGGTTAAGAATCTGCCTGCCATTGCAGGGCACACGGGTTGGAGCCCTGGTCCAGGAAGATCCCACATGCCACGGAGCAACTAAGCCCGTGCACCACAACTACTGAGCCTGCGCTCTAGAGCCTGTGAGCCACAACTACTGAAGCCCGTGTGCCTAGAGCCCACTCTCTGCAACAAGAGAGGCCACCGCAATGAGAAGACCGCAAACCGTGACGAAGAGTAGCCCCCGCTCGCCGCAACTAGAGAAAAGTCCGCGCACAGCAACAAAGACCCAACGCAGCCAAAAAAAAAATTAAAAAAAAAAAAAAAAGACCTATTAGCCTTATTAAGAATTTACAGTAGGGAGTTCCCTGGCGGTCCAGTGTTTAGCACTCCATGCCTCCACTGCAGGGGGTACAGGTTCCATCCCTGTTTGGGGAATTAAGATCCCACATGCTGCATGGTGAGGCCAAAAAAAAAAAGAATTTACTGTAGGCATTTGATTCTTTCATAATAGCTGCATAATCTCCTATCTCCTGTGTTCAAGGCTGTGGCCACGAGCAAACACACACAAGGTGATCCGTGTGGATGCTTAATCTAAACTGATGTGGAGGCATTTTGCTTTGTGATGTAGCACATAGTACATATCTGTTAATAATTGCCTATTTACATGGTTTCGCCCGAAGAACATGCATAATTTATCTTTTTTGAGTTTTTATATTGATTGAATCAGTCATGTTTATCTTAAAAATCTCTCCCAGAAATGGTCTTGCCAAAAATTGCCCAGAGGGATCTTGAACGTCACCTGCTTCATCAGACAAGTCTGAATTTCCTGTAACCTGGAGAGATTTCCCCGCGGGTGCTCAGAGAGCCAGGGGGGACAGACAACCCGGGAGGCCCAAAAGGCCGCAGACTAGACCTTTGTGGCGGGTTCTGAGAAGCAGGGGGTATTAGGCATTTCAGTTAGGTACAGCACGTTATGAAGAGTTAATCTGAAGAGAGAAATATTTTTCCTTTGGGACACTCTTCTATTAAGCCGTGTTAGCAATTCCTAGAGTTCGCTTCAAATAAAAAAATCTAGTTTATTTATATTCGGCCACTTGCCACGCTCATCCTTCAGCCTCTCAAGTCCGTAGCTGAATAAGGGGCAGCGAATGCAGTACCTAACAGGTAAGATCTCCCCCGCCCGCCCATTCTTTCCCGTCTAGAGCAGTACACCGGGACTCGGTGGTGTGGCCTGGGAAGCGGAGTCTAGACGCAAACTCCAGGCCCCGCCTACCCGACGGCGTCCGCAGCGCCGCTAGCGATCTCTACCCGCCAGAGGTCGCAGGCTCAACGAGCAGGTATCTCAGTTAGCGAATGACTAATCCAGTCGGCGAGAACTAATCCAGTTCTCACGAGAGAAAGCGCGAAGCCTGCCGGGACGGACGCGCGGCCTTCCGTAAGTTGGACCAAAATGGCAGCCTTGGAGGAAGGCTTCACGTTGACTGCGGTACCGCTGGGTTCCGGGCCTGACGGACCACTTGGAGTGGAGCAGAGCGACAAAACAGACCAGTTTCTAGTGACGGACAGCGGCAGGACCGTCATCCTCTATAAGGTGAGAGCAATAGGATCGGAGCGCCGCCGCTGCTGTCTCGCCCCTTTCTGAGTTCGGAGCCGGAACCTCAGGTTTCTCACAGCTTTGGAAAGAAGTCTTGCAGCGGGCTTAGCGGAGAGCCGTTGTGGCCTTTTTGGGACGCTGAATGAGGTCTAGAATCTGACTCGGTTGTTTTCCCGGAGAGGCATATTTCCGAGTTGCAGGCGGCAGAGCGTCTAAGTGCACGTGGGCTAGATTCGGAAAGGAAAGGAAAGGAAACCTGTGCTTTCGCTTCATATCTCCCGGAGATATCCTTGCTAAGATCCCCTTCTGGGGTCTCTGTCACCCCAGCTGCCCGCAGAAGGGTTAAACGGAGATTGGTTGGGTGGGAGAAGGTGTCACTGCCAGAACAGTGCTTTAGCCTTGTGTCCCTACGCTTCTTACTCATTAGGAGGGAAAGTTTTGTCGGTGTTTTGTTTTGGCTTTTTGCTTTCTTGGCAGCTTAGTAGGCATCTTGATTCCGAGTGACCTGTTTCCAGCTATGGTTCACCCTGTGAATCCTGGATTTGCGTCCCTTGAAGTCTACACACCCCGCCCCCCATTTAGCCTAAGGACTGCTTTAGCACATTTTCTAAACTTTGCTTTTAGTGGTTCCATAGAAAGTAATTCTTTCTATGTGAGCTGCTGAACAGTTTTCTGTGTCTTTTAGAAGTTGGGTATCTCAACATCGGTAATCATCAGGGAAATGAAAACCAAAACCACAATGAGCTATCACCTCACACCTGTCAGAATGGCTGTCATCAAAAAGAACACAAAAAATGTTGGTGAGGACATGGAGAAAAGAGAAGCCTTGTACCCTGTTGGTGGGAATGTAAAGTGGTGCAGTCACTATGGAAGACAGTATGGTGATTTCTCAAAAAACTAAAAATAAAGCAACCATGTGACCCAGCAGTTTCACTCCTGGGTATATATCCAAAAAAAACCCCAAAAAACAAAAACACTAATTCGAAAAGATACATGCACCCAGTGTTCATAGCAGCATTATTTATTATTATTTATTATCTTCCATTCCAAGATATGGAAGCAACCTAAGTGTGCATCAATAGATGAATGGATAAAGAGGTGGTGTATATCTATACAATGGAATACTACTCAGCCATTAAAAAAATAATGAAATTTTGCCGTTTGCAGCAACATGGAGGGCATTATGCTAAGTGAAGAGAGTCAGAGAAAGACGAATACTGTGATAGCACTTATGTATGGAATCTAAAAACTACAACAAACTAGTGATTATAACAAAAAGGAAGCAGACTCACAGATATAGAGAACTAGTGGTTACCAGTGGTGACAGGGAAGGGGGGAGGGGCAAAATAGGGATACGGGAGTAAGAGGTGTAAACAGTTATGTATAAAATAAGCTACAAGGAAAAAAAAAAAGCTACAAGGATATATTGTACAACAGGGGGAATATAGCCAATATTTTATAATAACTATAAGTGGAGTATAGCCTTTAAAACTGAGTCACTAGATGGTACACCTGTAACTTATATAATATTGTGCAACAACTATACTTCAATTTAAAAAAAAGCTAGCTGTCTGCATTGAAGTTTGGGGAACAGGTTGCCAACAGTACACTATACTGTTTGCTTGTTTTGATGCTTCTGAAGACACCGTTGGTTTTTACCTGGCTGTCAAGTGGACTTTTTGCAGTTCCTGCATAGGAATAGAGTGGCTGATTAGAATTGGCATGATGCCAGCTATCCTTATTCTGTTTCTCATGCCCCTGTTCAAGGGCACAACTGCATCAGTTTTTTAAATATACTAATATTGTTCATTACCAAAGTGCCGATATTAATTTACTTTTTTTCACTTTAGGAACTTATATTTTCATTTTAACTACTCTTTTAAAGTTTTTTTTTAAATTGTAGTAAAGTACACATAACAAAATTTACTATCTTAATGACTATAAGTGTACAGTTCAGGGTATTGAGTACATATATTCACATTGTTGTGCAGTCATCACCACCATCCATCTCCAGAACTCTTTTCATCTGGTAAAACTGAAACTCTGTACTCATTAAATAATAACTCCCAATTTCCCCAACCCCAGGCAACCACCATTCTACTTTCTGTCTTAAGTGGAATCCACATAGTATTTGTCTTTTTGTGACTAGCTATTGTTTTAATTTAGGAGATTTGTTAAATGCTATCGTTTTAATGATTTCTTCTGAATGTAAATTTAATTGCTTTAATGTCTGAAACTGACTTTTTGAATATTGTATGTTCATTTCATTAGGTTTCTGATCAGAAACCCTTGGGGAGCTGGTCAGTGAAACAAGGTCAAATTATAACATGTCCAGCTGTGTGCAACTTTCAAACTGGAGAGTATATTGTTGTACATGATAATAAGGTGAGTTCTAAAACTTTTATATAATATATACAAAACAAATCAAATTTTGATTTATTAACTATTCATGTTGTATGTAAATGGAAATTGGAATGCTTTTTAACTTGTATGTTTTTATTTCAGGTCTTGAGAATATGGAATAATGAAGACGTAAACCTGGATAAAGTATTTAAAGCGACAGTAAGTCTTTGGATTTTCCAACACATTTATTTAGTTTATTGGTGAGATGGAATAATTTGTAATGTAGCAGTTATTTATCTTAAAGTGTCTGTGAACATGACATAAAGGTTATAACCAGTTTTTCATTCTAGCTATCCTACAGTATGTCTTGGTAAAATGTCTCAACTTATGAGTTAATATGTTATAAAATGTTAGATGATATGTTATATTCATATGAGGTTGAGGATTTAAATAATTCATGAATGATACATTATAGTTATTTCCATGAGTTTAAATGTTTGTGGTGTGTCCCTTGCAAGAGCAAATGAACTTCATTGTTCTCTTTCTTAAAATAGGTAGAACAGACCCTGCAAGTTTTATGCGTTATACATTTTAAAAGTGGCACATACTGCAGTGAAAAAGAACCATGACTAACTGTGCCTTTTCTCCTAATGACCTAAAGTATGTTAATTAACTTTGTCTTATAAAATGAAGATCTCTAACTAGGTTAATCTTGAAAGTTCTTTATGGCTCTAAATGTCTAACTCTAAATACAATTGGCATATTTTAGAATTGGTTCACAACAGAGCTGATTCACATGCAACCGCAGTTGTCACCCGGACCCTTGAAACCTCTAGCCAGCTACCTGTGCTGCCACCTGGCTCCAGTCATTTTGTTTACCCTGAAGTAACACGATCCTGAATTTTACACAATGGGTTTTTTTTGTTTTTTTTTTAATCCTACATATGGTGTTAACTTCTTTTCCTGAGCTTGCAGGCTATGTATACATACATACATACATACACACATACACACACACACAAACATAAATATATATGTGTGTGGCTCATGTATTTATATATGGCATCTTTCTTTTTCTAATACCAGAACCGCTTATAACTCTGCATTAGTGCCTTTGTTTGTACCTCTCCTCACCTCCAGTTTTGAGAGACCCAGGTTATAGCCTAACCTCCAGTATTTACAGTGGAAAGATAAACCAAAAATGAATAAAAGTGATTACATATGGGGGTGAGCAGGGGAGAGGATAGAGAATAGGATCAAAAGTTAGACTTCTGAATGTATTTTATGTTAGATTTAACTTTGGAACCATACATAATTATGAAACAAAATTGAGTAAAAAGGAAAGCAAATCAGTCCCTTAAAGATAAGCCTTCTCCGGGACTTCCCTGGTGGTGCAGTGGTTGGGAATCCGCCTGCCAATGCAGGGGACACGGGTTCGAGCCCTGGTCCGGGAAGATCCCACATGCCGTGGAGCAGCTAAGCCCGTGAGCCACAACTACTGAGCCTGTGCTCTAGAGCCCGTGCTCCGCAGCCGGAGAGGCCACCGCAATGAGAGGCCCGCGCACTGCAGCGAGGAGTATCCCCTGCTGGCTGCAGCTAGAGAGAGCCCGCGCTCGGCAATGAAGACCCAATACAGCCAAAAATAAACAAATAAGTTTATTAAAATAAAAAAAAAAAAGGATAAGCCTTCTGTAAATGTCCTGATTCTATTAGGTGGCAGTTCCTTTAGAATAAAAATTTAAATGTTTTTATGTTCTTCTAGTTGTCCGCTGAGGTATATAGGATACATTCAATACAGGGGACAGAACCCTTGGTGCTGTTCAAGGAAGGTGCCATTCGTGGTTTAGAGGCCTTGCTTGCAGAGCCCCAGCAGAAAATTGAAACTGTTATCTCTGATGAAGAAGTGATTAAGTAAGTTCTAATACTTGTAATTTTTACCAAAAAGAAAATGCACTCTGTGTTTTTTATATTCTTTGCCTTGTTCAAAAGTATTTTGATTATAAACGTGATAAAAGTAAGCTGATTGAAAACCGTCTATAAGACAGTAGCCAAAATCACATCCCTCAAAAGCCTCTGGCGTGATAAGTGATTGAGGAAGCTGGGGCCAAATGAGTCCTGTCCTAATAACAGAACTGGATAGTCAGTTATTTGAAAATTAAGTGAGTAATCCCACAAGACCGGAATCTTCTGTCATATAGCCCTGACTGCCAAGGTCAGAACCCTTTCGCCTGAAGAAATGTGCAGCTTGTTAGTGGAATCAGGATAATGCTTTGAGACCTCTTCTTTCCCAGATTCTGAAATAAAACTTGGGAAATGACTCGCACAAATGATAGAAGGAAATCTCACAGTTTTACATCTATCCATTCCCTGTTCTTTCATCCCATTTCCTGTTTGGTTAACTTGCTGCCCCTCCCGGCCCACCTGATGTAAACTAAATCTTTAAAGGTCCAAGCAAAGACTTGTACGTAGTCACTCAACAATGTGGACAGTGACCCGTTATATCTTAGACCCAATGAATGCCTCTAAAGTGTGAGCAACTGTATTTGGAGGAAATCTTTACGCAAAAAGATATAGGTAGAGAATCTGGGTTCTAATCCCCACTTTGCCAGAAAATGGCTGTGCAGCCTTGGTTACAGGCCCCTTACCCTCCCTATGCCTCAGTTCCCGCTGTCACTTGAAGAAGGCAGGTGAGATGCTAATGTTTTCCTGAGAACACTAGGCCCCAAAATGACTCTGAAAAAAGGAGAGGTGGGTCAATTAAGTTTGGGGAACACCGCATCTTGTCTTACATGCCCTTGGTACTTTATAGTTCACGTTATTGTCTTTAAAGTTCTGGGAAGCTCAGCAACTTGCATTTAATCCAGAGATGCATTTGACAGAGGAATGCCTTCTAGGTCCCCGTGGTAGCTATTTTGAAACACTGAATCAAGTGTTCTCTGCTACCTCTCTGGCTCTAAAAAATATTTAATAAAAGATAATCTCTTACATTTAGATTGATGGTGTGTTTCAACTGGTGATTTTGCATTTTATAATTTTTCTTTTTCTTTTTTTAGGTGGACAAAGTTTTTTATGGTATTTAGGCATCCTGTGCTGATTTTTATTACTGAAAAAGTAAGCGATATCTTTAATTCCTGGCCCATTTTGTGACATTTCAGAGTCATCTGTATGATTTTTAAAACTAAAATTGGACTTTGGTATTTCTTTCAGAAAATTTTAATATATTTTTAAAATACTGAAAAATCTATTAGTTATAATTATTTCTATGCCTGAATTAAATATATTTTATAACTTTTTAAATTTAATTGGACAAGAGGTTTTTAAGCACTCATTAAAGTAATTACAGTGGGGCAGCAGCTGGTCTCAACATTTAAATATAGTTGGTGGAAATGGGAATATTTTTAAAATAAAATAACTTTTTTTTTTCCAGCATGGAAATTACTTTGCTTATGTACAAAAGTTTAACTCACGTATCCTAAGCAAATACACACTTTTACTTGGACAAGAAGAAAAATCGGTTACACAGAGTTTTAGTACATCTGTGCATCGGAAATTCATCTCTCTGATGTCATTAAGTAAGTACTTTTTTAAAACTTTCAGAGTTTATAAATAAAGGGGTATTACAGGATAGTGTTTTAAGTTCGAGTCTTCAGTTTTTACAGTTTTCTGTTGTAGTATTTCCCTTTCCATGCTTCCTTACAAGCATTTATACCTTCACTTTTTGCATTTTGCCATGCCTAGTCACGCAATAGGTCAGTAATTCTCTGCAGGTAAATTTTATGTCTTAAAATTTTATCATAAGCAATAAATAATATACCAATAAAAAAGGAAAAATCACTCTTTATTATGATAAGTCCAGTTTTTTTGATATTGTAATTAGTGAACCATGAAATACCTAAGGTTGGTACTGCATGGCCTCCCCATTCCACTTTTCCAACCTATAGTGTGCCATTCCTTTGAGCAGTGACAGAGACAGGTGAGTAAAAGTACACTAACAAAGCAGTCTTGGACTCTAGCCACCATTTTACAGATTATTTTTTAATGCCTTGGAGTTTACCTCTACCTAATGCTCTGAGGTTTAATCCCAGTCTTATGCATCTAGGGGGAAAAAATGCCTTTGTGGTCTTCTCTCCCCCCAGCTCTTTATGGCTTCTTTTGAAGTTGTTTTGGGAAGGTTAAGGAGGAAACAGAGCAGTATTTAGGAAATATTTTCATGTTATCACAGTTTAAAATCTTTGTGAAGTTTTTCAATGTGCAAACGTTTGCAGTGGCTGTTAAGAAAAAGGCTCCCTTCGTTTATCATGTCTAGAGTGTCATTGGAATCCGCTTAATACCTTTGCTTAAGAGGGACTGGTTTTCTTAAAGTTTAACCTATAGGACATATTAATTGTTACACAGAAGTTTGTGAGTTATGTTTTAGCTTTTGAACATTGAAGTAAGGGAATCTGAACCAAAGGGTCATAAAATCTTCATGTAACATAGCTAGAACCACATGAAATTGCCAAAAATACAATTGACCTACAAAACCCAGCAATTTAATAAGGTTTTAGGGTGCTGGAGTAACAAGAAATGTAATATTTAGACCAGAATGCTAATTAATTTCTAATAAGAGATACAGGCTTTTACTGATTGAATTGTCTGTATTCCTGGCAGTCCCCTCATATTTTAAGTTATTACAGATACTTAAAATTTTTATTTCATGGTTATCATGACATTTCTTACTGAAATTTTTATTACTATTTCTCCTCCATCAACTTTAGGTTTGTAGTATATTCTTTATGGGAAAGCATAGAGTGATGTGATTATTACATTTGTTTATTTTTCTGGTTGGATTCTCTGTCAAATTGGTAAAATCTTATTAACAACTTAGTACATTTAATTATAACAGATATAGAACTATCATTTATCCAATAAGGAACAATAAATACTTGTTTCCAACAGGCTCTGATGGATGTGTATATGAAACCTTGATACCAATACATCCAAGTGACCCAGAAAAAAATCAGAGGGTAGTTCGATCACTGTTGCTCAAGTCCGTGGTGTCTGGCAATGCTCGAAGTGGCGTTGCACTCACCATCCTGGATCAAGATCACGTAGCAGTCCTGGGACCACCACTATCAGCTTCTAAGGGTAACTAAAATCCAATCAGTTAAGCAGTCCTTTGGATTTTTTCCATCAAAGTGTACTTTTAAGTCTCCTCTTTCTTTTTCATTTATTTATTACCACCCTAATTCATTCTCTTTTTCACTGTAGCTTCCTAATTCTTGAATAGGTCTTTGATTTCATCTTGCCTTGATCAGTTTCTCTAAAACATTTCCTATATCACTCACTACCTTGCTTGTCACCAGTGTCTTAAATAAAAACTGCAAATATCTGTGCCAGCCTGTAGGCATTGGAAACATTGGTAAGACTTGCAGTAGAGGATTGAATTCATCCCTTGGTGACACTTTAGCAGAATATAAATTCATTAGTCTTGGACAGCTTGAAATTTGGGGACTACTAGTGTGCCTTTTTTTTTTTTTTTTTTTTTTTTGTATACGGGGCTCTCACTGTTGTGGCCTCTCCCGTTGTGGAGCACAGGCTCCAGATGCGCAGGCTCAGCAGCCATGGCTCACGGGCCTAGCCACTCCGCGGCATGTGGGATCTTCCCAGACCGGGGCACGAACCCGTGTCCCCTGCATCGGCAGGCGGACTCCCAACCACTGCGCCACCAGGGAAGCCCTAGTGTGCCTTTTGTCTCTGTGACTTCAGAGCAGGATTTTCATCATCACCTCACCTCCTCACCCCCAAACACCCCTCCACACAGACAATTGTAGTCTATCATGAAGGACACAGTTGTTCCTGGCCAGTGCAAGATTGGGGTCTCCCAGCCTACACTATAAAACTCCAAATCTATGGTTTAGCATTCAACTCTCGCCACAGTCTAGACCCTGTCCACGTTTTCCAGTCTCTTCTCCCAATTTCAAAGCAAGAACTCTCTGCTTTATTCAGGCCAGGCTCCCTATTGACTACAAACTTGATATGGCCATCCTTGTGTATTTTGTTTTGTTTCTTCTTTTTAAGATAGGAGCTACCACTTATGGCATACTGTCCTGTGCCAGGTGTTTTACTTGTATTATTTCATTATCTGTGTCATTTAATCCTCCAACAACCCTATGAGAGAAAGCCCAGTTATTATCACCCTTATTTTACAAATGAGAAACTGAGATGTTAGGTAACTAAGTAGTGGAACTAAGGTTCAACCCAAGCAGGTTGATTCTTACGCCATATATCTTACCGTTCTTAAGTCCTGGCTTTTAGCCACTTTACCAGGCTGTGCTTCTCCTCTCTCAACCCCCATCCTCCCTCTCTAGTTCCTGGTCTAACCCCCCAAAAACTCAGTAACCTCAGTAAAGTTTCCCATGTCTCTTTCCAGAGTTTTTTTAAATATATGCAAATACTACTACTTATTTTTCTTCCTCTTTTTACACAAATGGTAGCATACCTTATCCTCTGTTGTATACCTTAATTTATCCACTTACCTGAGATATCATAGAGAGCCTTCCATAGCAGCATCTGTATTGAATTTTTTTTCTTTTTAAAATTTTATTTATTTATTTATTTATTTTTGGCTGTGTTGGGTCTTCGTTGCTGCACGCGGGCTTTTTCTAGTTGCGGCGAGCGGGGGCTACTCTTCGTTGTGGTGCGTGGGCTTTTCACTGCAGTGGCTTCTCTCATTGTGGAGCACGGACTCCAGGCGTGTGGGCTTCAGTAGTTGCAGCACGTGGGCTCAGTAGTTGTGGCACACAAGCTTAGTTGCTCTGCGGCATGTGGGATCTTCCCAGACCAGGGATTGAACCCATGTCCACTGCATTGGCCGGCGGATTCTCAACCACTGCGCCACCAGGGAAGCCCGACTTTATTTTTTTAAGAGGAAAATATAGGCAGAACATTCCGACATAAATCACAGCAATAGTTTTTTGCATCTGTCTGCTAACACAAAGGAAATAAAAACAAAAATAAACAGTTGGGGCCTAATTAAATTTTAAAAGCTTTTGCACAGCAAAAGAAACGTCGACAAATCGAACAGACAACCTACTGAATGGGAGAAAATATTTGCAAATGATATGACTGATAAGGGATTAATATCCAACATATATAAACAGCTCATACAACTCAAAGTCAATGAAAAATGGGCAGAAGAACTGGATAGACATTTTTTTCAAAGAGGAAATGCAGATGGCCAACACACACATGAAGAGATGCTCAACATCGCTAATCATCAGGGGAATGCAAACCAAAACCACAATGAGGTATCACCTCACACCTGTCAGAGTGGCTGTCATCAAAAAGAACACAAATAATAGGTGTTGGTGAGGATGTGGAGAAAAGGGAAGCCTCGTACTCTGTTGGTGGGAATGTAAATTGGTGCAGCCACTGTGGAAAACAGTATGGAGGTTTCTCAAAAAACTAAAAGTAGAACTACCATATGACCCAGCAGTTTCACTCCTGGGTATATATCTGAAAAAACAAACTAATTCAGAAAGATACCTGGACCCCAATGTTCATAGCAGCATTATTTACAATTGCCAAGATAGGAAAGCATCCTAAGTGTCCATCAACAGATGAGTGGGTAAAGAAGTGGGGTGGGTGTGTAGATATGTATGTGTGTATATATATTTGTGTGTGTGTGTACATATATATATATATAAAATGGATTACTACTCAGCCATTAAAAAGAATGAAATTTTGCCATTGCAGCAACATGGATGAACTTGGAGGACATGCAAAGTGAAATAAGTCAGACAGAGAAAGACAAATACTGTGTGACATCACTTATATGTGGACTCTAAAAAGTACAACAAACTAGTGAATAGAACAAAAGAAGCAGACTCAAAGATACAGAGGACAAACTAGTTACCAGTGGGGAGAGGGAAGGGAGGAGGGGCAAGATAGGGGTAGTGGAGTAAGAGGTACAAACTATTACGTATAAAATAAGCTACAAGCGTATGTGTACAACATGGGGAATAAGGCAGTATTTTATAATAACTATAAATTGTGAATCACTATGTTGTACAACTGTAATTTACGTAATATTGTGCAGCAACTGTACTTCAATAGAAAATTCATTAATTTTTTTAAAAAATGCTTTATTTTTTTAGAGAAGTTTAAGGTTCACAGCAAAATTGAGGGGAAGGTACACAGATTCCCATATGCCCCCTGCCTGCCTATGTGTCCACTTGTCATGATAGCTCATATCTGTGAATTTCTGTCTTCATTACTCATTTTTGTTCCTAATAAAGCAAGACCTATGTGTTTAACTATGACTTCCCTCCTCCCTCCCTCCCTTCTCCTCACCCCCAGCACCATATATTTATATTTGGCTGACTTCTGAACTTGGGACTTTTTTTTTTTTTTTTTTTTTTAATTTTTTGGCCGCACCACGAGGCATGCGGGATCTTTAGTTTCCCGACCAGGGATCAGACCCGCACCCCCTGCAGTGGAAGCGCGGAGTCTTAACCACTGGACCTCCAGGGAAGTCCCAACTTCTGAATTTGTATGTCTTATTTTATAGAATGCCTCTCCATATGGAATACAAAATTTCAAACACTACAGACTTCAAAAGAGTTACCACAAGGGACCAGCGGTCAAGTAAGTTTTTGCACTTTGGGGTTTTTTTCAAATGTACTTATTTTTGTGTCTGACAAATAGACTGTAAGGGAAGAGACCTCTTCGGATCTAAATATTTTATCAGTTTTGATTAAAATAAATTAAGAAGTATTTTCTACCTGCGAGATTATATTTAATTTGGTTATTTTTATAGTTTCCTTATGTTTGTCACTTTCAAAAGACTAAATTATAAGCTAATTATAGATCAGGAGAGAACAGTTAGCTAGTTAACAAAACTTTTTAATCTCACTTTGGTTTTATCTTTTTACTTTTGTATTTTGAACTATACCCAAGGGCTGTTACTTTGCCTAATAAATTAGTCTTTTAGGTTATATGTTAAATGTTATCATGGAATTACGTAAGAATACTTAAAGAATTAAAATTTAAGGTGACCAGACTATAAACTTCCTGAGGCAAGGGACCTTGTCTTTTTTGTTCTCCATCATATCTTCAGTGCTTAACAAAGGTACTCAGTAAGTACTGGTTGTTTAGTGAATATAAGATATAAATAAATCAAGATATAGGATGTTGTTGATCATTGTACTTAGAGGATAAGGAGACTATGTTTCTTAGCATAGAATTCTAATTTATATTTAAACAAGTAATTTTCACAAGATTAGCCGTTCACAATTCCACTGCTCTAACAAACTTCACTTTTGATTTCCGTGTTCCTTTGAGCTTTTTATTCATATACCTGTCTCAGTTTTACAATTTTATAATTGAGATCATGAGATAGAAACTGTTCAATTCTGCTTTTTTCATTTCGTACATCAAAACAGTTTGCCTGTGTTACAATAGCCTTTGTGAGTATCACGTTAATAGATGTGTAATATTGACAATATTTATTTTAAACAATTCATTTATTTTAAATATATGTGTTGATCAAATTTTTATGAGTCAAAAGAAATTATCTTTAAATTATGCTTTATTCAGACATGGGCAAAAATAAGAGCTTTGTAAACCTACCTCAATTAATAAGTTGAACATATGAGATTATTCTGGAAAGTTGCTTAACTTCACCTTATCCTTTCCTGTTATATTAAGATTACTTCCACCACAAGTTATTGTTATAAGTTATATGGCTTTGTTGAATCAGATCTTAGAAGAGAAAAAGGATTGCTTACATTTTTGATAACTTTTTTGTAGCTCTGGTATCATGGGGAAAATTTGTTTATGCTACATGGAAAATTTCTAACTGTAATCCCATACAAGTGTGAGGTGTCATCATTAGCAGGTGCTCTTGGAAAACTCAAGCATAGTCAAGATCCAGGTAGGAACTTAAATGTTTTATTACTAAAAACCAATTTATAAACTTCTAGTTTGATATGTAGATTTTCACAGCTATCGGTTTGCATAACCTGTTCTTAATGTTGAAATTTGCCAGTGTTCATTCAGATTTTATTGGTCAGGAAGCTACCTTGGGAACAGTCCACATTGCAGATACTGCTGCAGGTTAAAGAGCTACGCTGCATTTTGAAAGCCAGTGTTCTGACTTTAGGGGCAACGGGAAAGTCCTGCAGACAAAATCAGAAATGCTTTTTCCCTCCTTGGTTTACCAGTGGCCTCATCTGTTGGGCACATAGCCTTTTAGGATATTATGATTTACTGATCTGAGGTTACTGGTAGAATGAAATGGACTTTAAAGCCGCTTTTGAATTGTGCGTGAGTGGTGGTTGTTTTATTGTTCTTTGTTTGATTGATTGGCTGGGTAAATACCAATAGGTCAAAAAATTCCAGTAATTGTGTGTTCTGTGTTTTCTTAGACATTCATGCCATGACTCATTTTGTAAACTGGGAAACATCACAGGGATATGAACTTGGATCTCAGAACTCAGAGCAGTCAAAGAGAATCGTAAGTTTGGTAGTTGAAATAGAAATGTTACTACAGATGTTAAAAAACAGAAAAGGCTGAATTATTTTAATAATTCATATTTGTACAACTCTTACAACTTGCTCTTAATGATGGGGTGATTTGAAGCTTGAACCCAGTAACCTGACAGCCCTTATCCGAAAGTGACACATGTCGTCTAGTAGTTTTTATGGGCATGTGTGTAAGACCCAGGTGTAAAAATGGACCAGTTTGCAATTAGTAATAATAGAGTATAGAGATTTTATTTATGAAAAAATGAAAACTTTAAAGATATTTAAGTTAAAAGTTGAAATAGACCCACTTTTCACTATAAGAAAACCAAACCCTAAAAAAGCTTGTGAATGGACTTCCCTGGTGGCGCAGTGGTTAAGAATCCCCACCTGCCAATGCAGGGGACACGGGTTCGAGTCCTGGTCTGGTTCCCACATGCCCCGGAGCAGCTAAGCCCCTGCGCCACAACTACTGAGCCTGTGCTCTAGAGCCCGCAAGCCACAGCTACTGAAGCCCACATTCCTAGAGCCCGTGCTCCGCAACAAGAGAAGCCACTGCAGTGAGAAGCCCGCGCACTGCAATGAAGAGTAGCCCCCACTCGCTACAACTAGAGAAAGCCCACACGCAGCAACGAAGACCCAATGCAGCCAAAAATAAATAAATTTAAAAAAAAAGAAAGTTTGTGATTAGAGCAAAAGTGTGCCAGTCTCTTTGGGACATTTTATATTCTTCTAAATGTCTATTGCATCTTTTGTGTTGTTTTGAGATCCTAATCAATTTACTGAATTCCAGTTAAGGAGAAGGAAAATTGAAGTGAGTGTACAGCCGGAGGTTCCACCATCCACACAACTCTTAGCAGCCGTACAGGTAAATTTTAAAATATTAGAAATACGAAAAATCAACTCATGGTTAAAAGAAATCCTATGTACTTTTTATTCTGTCTTCCTCTTGTGATCATTTTTAGAGCTATGGCTAACATTTGTATAGTATATTGAGGTTGCCAGAGTGATGCTTTGGCTTATTTGACTCTCACTAAGCATTTCGTGAGATCAGTGTGATGGTGGTGGCCTCATATCTCATTCACCTTTGCATTGAATGTTTGTAATTTAGCTTCTTAGAAATTTTGATTTCTAAATCCTTGAGTTTTTTTTTCTTCTTTGTATTTTGTCTTTGTCCAGTAAATTGTATATCAACTCCAGTTTCACAGGAATGCATGAATGCTGTTAGTGATTTAAGACAATGTTAAGCTAGGAACTTTTAAGTGCAGAGCGACATTTATTAATGTACCACACTGAACTCTTTACTTCTGCCCTTTCAGAAAGATTCAGAAAAACATATTGAAGTAGAACTACGTAAATTTTTGGCTGTTCAGCGGACCCCTGACTTTCATACTATTATTGGGGATGTAGTAATAGGACTTCTGGGAAGATATAAAGCAGAACCATCATTTTATCCTCGGAACTGTCTGATGCAGCTTATCCAAACACGTGTGCTTTCTTACAGGTAAATGTTTCTTTACAGGTAAATGTTTCTGTACACCAAACTTTATACACATAACTCTTTTGACCTTGTTTTTTACAGTTCTGATTTTTATACTCTGTAAAAGCCTTATGAATTATTTGCAATTGAGAGTTTCTTAATATATATAAATGATTCATGTTTTTGGTCTTAGCTTGTGCCCTGGCTTAATGGAGTTTGCCTTAGAAAAGACAGATGTGCAGATCCTACAGCTCTGCCTACAGCAGTTCCCTGACATCCCTGAGTCAGTCACCTGCGCTTGCTTAAAAATTTTCTTGAGGTAAGTTAGAAGCTGATGGTCCTTTACTTTCACTGCATTTTTAATCTATTGTTTTATTTTATTTCTTAAACTTTAAAGTCTTAGAAAATGAAAATTTTTCCAGTAAGTTCAGCTACTGATAAGAATTATTTCCTGCTTTCAATTAACATGATAGCATTGGTGATGACAGTCTTCAAGAAACAGATATCAATATGGAGTCAGTTTCTGACTATACTGCTACTATACAAGATGGGGAAATAGAAGAACAAACTGAAATTCTTCAAAATGGTTTCAATCCTGAAGAAGATAACTGTGAGAACTGTGCTCAGGAGTTGATTGAGAAGCCTCAGGCTGCAACAGAGGAGAGCACTTCATGCCCTGTTACAGGGAAAAGAGCAGCGCTACTGTATCCTTTGAAACCATTTCCCTTGTATTGTCTTTTTCCCAGGGATGTAGTCAAATGCCAAGCAAAAACTAAGGGGTAATTAGATAATTTAAGGTGGTTTTTTCCTTTTCTTTTTTTCAATTTTTTTCAGTTTCTGCTTGAAAATGGATTACATTCAATGCTGTGTTCAAACAACTTACTTAAACCTTATTTAAGAAGCTATACTAAGATAGAAGCTCTATCACTTCTAAAAATTAGTCTACTGAATAAACACCAATTATCTATAATAGCAAAATATTCCAGATGATCTCTAGTTACGAGGAGAATGTTCAGTGATAACACTCTTCTAGAAAAGTAGAACTTTTGTATAAATTTAGAAAAATGTTACTGGGGAAGGGAATTACTCATTATTTCAGTAGAAAAGTCTTTATTGGTTGAAATGAGATTTTCCTTTATTCCCAAGTAGAAATGCAATTCTTCATTCAGCATATAGCGAGACGTTTCTTCTGCCTCATTTGAAGGACATCCCAGCACAACACATCACTGTGAGTGTTCTTACGAATCCTACAGGATTTTATTTCTGCGTTAAGTGTTGCTCCTTAACTCTACCCAGCTTCTAGGGCATTCGAAAGGTTATAAAGTTCTTTCATCTGAGTAAGAGATTTCCCAGCCCTCAAGGTGAAAAATCGTGCCTGGGAGACTAGAGTGACCTGGAGGAGGCAGAGCTTGACGTGTTCCTGGTGTCAAACCCGAAGGCCGGGTTCATCCATCTAACTTAGAAACGAGTAGGAACTAAAAAGAATTGCCCAGAGAAGGATTCTCTCTTCTCTACTTACTATTTACAAACAAAATAAGCTCCTCACCCGCTTCTCCCAAACCAAATGAACTCTTCTTTGATGGCAGGGAGTGCATTTGATTCATGTGTCCCCTGATGTCTAGCATATTTGTCTGATGTACAGTTAAATTCAGTAGCCTCTTAAAATTCTTTCCAGTCTCTTTGTTAGCTTTACAAAGAGAAAATATTCCTATCAAAGTGATTGTTCTTTTTCCCCCCCAACACCTAGCTATTTCTCCAGTATTTGTATTTCCTTTATCTGAAGTGTAGTGAAAATGCTACTATGACTCTTCCTGGAATACACCCTCCAACCCTGAACCAGGTGAGGTAATCTTTTTATTTTGATCTGATGCTGGGAAAAATACGTTAAACAAAAAAAAGGTTTTTTATATATATATAGTATCAGAATCTGGAATCCAGGAACTGATTTCTCCCTGTCTCGTGGTTCCTACAACCCTCCTCCCTCACCAGGTACACAAACCACTGGAGTGGATCACTCAATTTGGTAGATGGATTTTTTAGAGCCATAATTCTATACTAAGAAACTTAAATTCATCTTAAATTCCTGATTCTTTATTGTGACCCTTTTCAAGAATTTCCTCAGCTTCATTGGGGGAGAGTGATAATAAGTGTCCTCCTAATAACCTAATAATCCCAAGTCCCTCTTAGAGATAACCAATACTAAGAGTTGCATTTATGTCCAGAAATTTGCTTTCTGTACCTTAACTTATCTTTCTCTTGTCTTTCTCATGCAAATTAGATCACGTGCATGCTATTCTGCAGCTTGTTTTTTTTCACTCATTGCTACATTTTACACATTTTCTGAATCAGGCTATATACATCTGCAACATTCTTTTTAACCACTGCATACTATTTGATTTTATAGAAAATCTTAATTTGTTAGTCCCCTATTGATTGGCATTTAAGTTGCTTACAGTTTTTTGCTATTGTAAACAAACTTTCAGTGAGCATCTTTATAGAAATATTCTTGCATATTATGAGAGAACACCTCTTGGGTAAATTCCCATTAGTGAAATTACTGGATAAAGGGTGCATGCATTTTTAGTTTCAAAAATGCCAGGCTACCTTTCCAAAGGGTTGTGACAAGAGATACTGTGGCCACCAAGATCTGAGACCTTACTCTCTGCTAGTCAAGTAGGTAACAAGTAAGTGTTTTAATTTGCATTTCTTTGATAATAAGAAAGGTGGACCATCATTTCTTGCCAATTTATATTCCTTTTTGTGTACTGCCTAATCAGGTTCTTTGTCCAATTTTTCTATTGGCACTTCCTGTCTTTATCATTTTGCCTTATAAATTATTCTTCGTATATTAAGAGAAATTAGTCTGTTTCTATGAAGTGTATTACAAATACTTTTTTTCCTATCACTCTTTTTTACTTGCTTTAGTGTAATTTTTGCCATAGATGGGTTTTTAATTTTCATGCTGTCAAAATTGTTAGGCTTTTCCTTTACTGCTTCTTTTTGGGTACGCCATGCTTAAGGCCCTTCCCACTCTAAGAGTGTAAAAATAGCCACCCTGTCTTCCCCTAGTACATTTCTTTTCCTTTTCTTTGTTTAATTCTTTGATACATATAAAGTTTATTTTGGTGTAGAGAGTTACACAGGTATCAGCTTTCCCCCCTCCCTGCAAATGGATAGTTGGTTTCCTTAATGCTTTTTCATGACACTGATATTTGCATGTTAACAACACCATTTGAAGGTGTACACTACATAGGATACTTTAATAAATGTATAGTAATAATTTTATTTTAGTTCTTGGTACCTTATCTATAATACACGACACCTTATTCTTGGGTCATAGTGTATATTTCAGAATAGGAGATGAGTGGGTTATTTGTTTTGTAGCTGTGAGTAGTTATCAAGAATTTTTTAAAATAAAAAGTGCTAGCTCTCCCTTGGATTAAATATCACTGTGGCTTTCTTTTTACTGATTAATCTGATGGAAAAGATCCAATTATGCTTGTTAAATGACAAGTAGAAAAGCAGAAAAGAGGCTTTTTAGATTGCTTAGAAATTCCTTCATCTCTAAAATGTTCAGACTTCTGTAAAGAAGACTTATTTTTTCTTATAACTGTTTGATACTATTATGGACTTTGTAAAATGAATTAACCTAAAATTAAATTTAAAATCTTAACTCCTTTTCCTGTTTATCTTCAGATTATGGATTGGATATGTCTACTTCTAGATGCTAATTTTACTGTTGTGGTAATGATACCAGAAGCAAAAAGGCTACTGTTAAGTCTTTACAAGTTTGTGAAATCCCAGGTATGTAATTATTTGATTATACTGAATTCTGTTTGTAACCAAGAAGCACCAAAATTATAATTTATTAAAATTTTTCTTGGAATAGCCCTAAGTAATTGTGGAGGATTTATCCATATGTACAAAATATGGTAAAAGTTATTTTGGAACTTTTTTCTTTAGATAAGCATTTGTTCTGAGCTCAACAAGATTGAAGTAAGTTTTCGTGAGCTACAGAAATTAAATCAAGAAAAGACTAATAGAGAATTATATTCAATTGAAGTGCTGGAACTCTTCTGATATTACCAGTTCTCCTTCATAGACGTTTTATGAAGCTCTTTTATGTGGATTCTTCCTACTCAACCAGGCAAGAGATGTGTTTTGTTTGTGACTGTCTCTTCGGTGACAAGAGAAATGTCTGAGCAAGTACCTAGACCATCACTTATTGATTCTCCTAGGTCAGACTGCAGGTTTCACGTGAAGCTATTCTAGCTTATGGACACTGGTGGGGAGAGATTCTGCAACTTTTAAAAATATGTAACGGAGGTGTTTTTAAGTAAACTTATTTGTGTATTGATACAAGTTGAATTTCTTACCATCCATTTGAATAGTTCTTCTTTTAATAAAAAACTACCATTGAAGAAACAGTGATTCTAGGAAAAACATGGTTTTATCACAGTCGGAAGCTGTCCCAGCTCATCTGTGTTCATGGGGGACAGAAGAGGGCATTTCCACAGGCAGGGTGGGAAGGGGCCTTGTACACACCTGTGCTTATCTCCTGCCATCGTCTCCCGTTCTTTACCTCCTTGCACTACCTTCTTACATTCCCAGGGCTTGAACATTATCCCTCAGATTACCTCTGTGATTAGGATGTTAATTTCAGTTACAGAAATATATTTCTAGATAGTAAAAAAAAAAAAGTCTCTTTTGACCATAGAATTTCCTGTTTTAACTCGGGTTTAGAACAAACGAAAGGCTTTATGTAGAAGAAATGGATGCTTTTGTTTCTTAAAAATAAACTCAAATTTATTTTTGTTAAAAGTGAAATCACTTTTTCAGGTGATGAACTAAGTTTCCCAAGAGTAACTTGAAACATTTATGAGCTGTGAAAGTCTCTGATGAATAAATCATTTTGAAACCTCTTTTAACCTGAAAGGTCACTATATATATATATTTTAAATTCCAGTAAATTCTAGCGCATAATATAAGTTCAAGTGTGGTTCTAGAGCCCATGTTATACAGAATCCTGATGGCTCAACTTAATTTGCGTTAGGGAAAGGCTTCATTTAGGTCAGGCACTCTGTAAACTTTAGTTACAACTGTTGCAGTTAACAAACAGGTTCTCCCTTGTCATTCTTTTTTTTTTTTTTTTTTAATTGAAGTATAGTTGATTTACAATGTTGTGTTAATTCCTTAGTCATTCTTAATCTCTCTTTAATCTGAGAGAAAAGAAATACCAAAGATAGCAGCATATATTAACAGTTATGCTCACTTTAAGTGGGACCTTTTGCTCAGACAATTTAAGCTAAGTGATACAGTACTTCTCAGCAGAAATGAAAAATAGGAGTCTCCACGATGTGTATCATCTTTTTATCTTTTTTGTGAACCGTTTAAGAATTACTTACAGGCACCCAGACATAAAATTGTGGGTTCCTAAGCTTTTCTTAAAACTTTGAACTTTATGGGGCTTCCCTGGTGGTGCAGTGGTTGAGAATCCGCCTGCCAAAGCAGGGGACACAGGTTCGAGCCCTGGTCCAGGAAGATCCCACATGCCACGGAGCAACTAAGCCCGTGTGCCACGACTACTGAGCCTGTGCTTTAGAGCCTGCGAGCCACGACTGCTGAGCCCGCGTGCCACAGCTACTGAAGCCCGTGCACCTAGAGCCCATGCTCCACAACAAGAGAAGCCACTGCAATGAGAAGCCCACGCACCACAACGAAGAGTAGCCCCTACTCACCACAACTAGAGAAAGCCCGTGCACAGCAGCGAAGACCCAACGCAGCCAAAAATAAATAAATAAATTAATTAACAACAAACCAAACAAAAAAAAAAACTTTGAACTTTAGCATATCCTTTATGATTTACAGATCCTTTTATGGGGGTTAAGATTATTCAGGATTGTCACAGTTTTTAGATTCTGAGTTATTTATGATTTAATTTATAAGAACCCATAATAAGAGACGAATCTCAGATTGATTGATGAATTCTTTCAGCCAGAGCAAACAAGCAAACGAAATTCATAGATTGACAATTAAGCTCTTCACGACTCCTGATTTAATTGTACTTGAAGACAGCTTCTGCAGTGAAACTTGCCCGGTCAGGGTTCAAACTAGCAGAGGCCTTTGACTGAGGAGAGGCCAGAGCAAGATTCCCTGTTCCCTCAAACTTTTGTCTGTTTGGAAGGAACTTCTGTATAGGGTCCTAATAAAGTCTTTATTATAAAGTTGAATAATTTGGCCTGTAAATATTATGGAAGCAAATTATTGATTTTTAAAATAAGTAGAAAAGTGTAATTGCTTTTAAATACTAGTGGCAAATGATCTCTAGGTTGCCTACAGACTAAGTTGGACTAAATTTAGAAATTAAATAAGGATTTTATACGGACATATAGAGGATTATTTTTTAATTAAGTTATAATTGATAAGAGACTTTTATAGGCTGAGTTCTTCAAGGCAAGGACTTTGTCTTACCCTTTATGCACTCTAAGTACAGGACCACTGGCACATAATCAGTGTTCAGTAATGGTTATTGAATAAAATTACTGAATAGTAGATCTTATCTGCCCAATTATAGAGCAATAATTCTGAGGGTTTGCAACAGTTACTTTTTCTGGCAAGTAAATCCTCTGTTCACCACATATAGGCAGTGTATCTTCTGCCTCTGGACTTTTATTTTTTATAACTTAATTATAACTCAGATTTGTTTCTGATTATATATACTACATCTATATAATAATAAAAGTTCTTTTTTTTTTTCTTTGCCACACCTCATGGCTTGTAGGATCTTAGTTCTCTGACAAGGGATTGAGCCCCTGCCCTGGCAGTGAAAGCACTGAGTCCTAACCACTGGACTACCAGGGAATTCCCAAGAATTGTTCTTTAAACTTCTTAAGTTCTCCATCTAGGAAATGGTTTCTTGCTGTGACCTTAATGGTTTTTGAGGGAAATGTGGACTAACAGGTTATCATTGCTACTTAAAAGTAGATGTTTTCTTTTTGCCTCTTTAGCCTTATTTGTAAATATTTGGTGACTCTAACTATAGTGGAGTCCATTCTGGATCATGTAGAATTTTAAAACAAAGATGGATTTTTTGCCCCAGCTCTTTTAAAAATATTTTAATCCTAAAGTAATTGCAAGAAAGAATAATGAATACCCCTGTATTCTTAGCCTAAATTTATCTGTTCCTAACATCTTGCTATGTTAGTTTTACACTATATATTTTTTCTTTTTTCCTGAATCATGAGAGAGTTATTTACAAACATTCAGATTAATCTCATAATTCAGTTTAATCCAATAAATACTTACGTTTAACCCTGTAAAACAAGGGCATTAATTTCACATGACCACAATGCAATTATCAAATTCAGGAAATTAATGTTAATACAGTGCTATTTAGAATGATTACAGTCCTTATTCAGATTTCCACAGTTGTCCCAGTAATGTCTGTTATAATTGGACTTCCTCCTTCCTAAAATCCATTCAGTCATCATGCATTGCATTTAGGTTTCATGTTTCTTTAATTTCCTTTAATGTAGAACAGTTCCCTAGAAAATTGCATTTCTGAAGAATCTAGGCCAGTTATTTTGCAGAATGTCCCTCAGTTTGCATTTGTCTCGTTTCCACATGATTAGATTCAGATTAAACGTTTCTGACGAGAATACTACAGAGAAGGCACAGCATCAGGAGGCATTGCTGTGAGTTGTCCTATCATTGGTGATGCTAAATTGGATCACTTAGTTAAGGTAGGATTTACCAGATTGCCTCACTCTAAAGGTACCTTTTTCCCTTTGTACTTCATAAGTAACCTATGTATTTATTATTTATCTTTGAGACTGTGTGAATATCCTATTCTGGAATGTTATTCTTCCCTAACAGTGAACCCATTGGTAATTTTTGCATGAATCGGTTATCACTTTGGTGACAGTTACGGTTGCAAATGTAAAAATTGTTTTGGTATAAATCTCTTTTTTATAAATTTATTTATTTTATTTATTTATTTTTGGCTGTGTTGGGTCTTCGTTGCTGTGCGCCAGCTTTCTCTAGTTGCGGCGAGCAGGGGCTACTCTTTGTTGCGGTGCGTGAGCTTCTCATTTTGGTGGCTTCTCTTGTTGCGGAGCACGGGCTCTAGGTGCACAGGCTTCAGCATTTGTGGCTCACAGGCTCTAGAGCGCAGGCTCAGTAGTTGTGGTGCACAGGCTTAGTTGCTCCGCGGCATGTGGGATCTTCCCGGACCAGGGCTCGAACCCATGTCCACTGCATTGGCAGGCAGATTCTTAACCACTGCGCCACCAGGGAAGCCCCCAAATCTCACTTTAAAATGGAATGCTGTGTGCCATGTAGCCGCCATTCTCATCTCTTAAGTCTGCTTTCTAATCTGTAGATGGATGAGCAGATAAATGGATGGAGGTATTACACAGATTTGAACAGTTATAATCACACTGAGCATACAATGTGTGGTCTACTTTTTTCACTTAATATTTTCATAAAGCCATGTTTTTACATAGTTAACATGTTTTGATTCTTAAAAGTTTCAGACTCAGAAAACAAGAGCTGAGAAGGCTTACCAGTAATTTATTCATAAATGTCAAGTGTCTTATCCTGTTCCCACAGCTTTATTTTAGCAAAGCTGAAATGTGATTTTAGATTATACTCTTCCACTTCCTTTAATTATCATCATTATAATTTGGGGATGCTTTTGAAAACATACCCACATCAGTGGAATTTTTGGAGTGCTTTTGTTTGCTTCAGACAAATTTCTTAAGGAAAAAAACTACTCAAAATTCTGGACAACTGTTTTGAGGAGACTGGCATTATTTAAAATAACCTCCCCAGAGCCTTTTCATCTCTAAGAAAGCAGTGTACTGTTATTAAAGGGGTTTTAAATAGATGTCTCTCAAGGTTCCGCTTTTAGTTTTAGATCACATACTATTACCTAGATTAACATAGCCAGTAATTAGGTAGAATTGTGCTTTTTGTGTGTTAGATGTTTAATGTATAGTACATGTCAGATCCCAGTTGCTGTGATATTCTAGCTCATTTTTAGACTTAGAATATCAAATAGTTTTTTAATTGTATTTTAACTAGTAAAACGTGTACATTTATATACTTACCATTTAAGCTCATAATATGTTTATAATATATAAGCTACTATATAGTTGATTACATAGCACTTACTCTGTGCCAACCATTGTTCTAAATGCTTTAGAAATATTAATTGATTTAACACTCTTAAGTCTGCTTATCAATCCTGTAAAGTAAGATTTACTGTTGAGGAAATTGACACACAGACCTCAGTTTAGACTAATGGTAACCTTCCATTAGTCTAAGGATGAAAGAATGCTTTGAATCAGAGAGAGAAAAAAATGTAGTGGTGTTTATGCAGCAAAAGTTAGAGAACATGGACAACTTGTTAAGTGGGAAACCAAAAACTATGCTGCTCTGGAGGGACAGATGGGAGTCTGTGAGAGGTGCACATTGTTGCCAAAAAGAAATTTTTAAATTATTTTTCCTCTTTAATTCTGTACTCACCGAGCAATTCACACTGATTTGTTTTCCCAGAAACATAAATACTTTGGTATGAGAGGTGATGAGGTAATTATAGTTTCCTATAATCCTTATAAATTAACAAATTGAAATTCTTCTCTAAAACTGTAATTTCACGTTAACCTAATTATCCTTGGCTACTTTTCATTTCTGGATGAATTTGTTTGATTTGGGTTGTCAGTGCCAAATTTCTTATTCATTATTATGATATATTCAGACCACAGGGCTTACAACATTTATTTCTTCTGGTTTATTTGGATATTTTATTGCCTTATTGTTAAATGTCTTATATTTTACATTGTACATCAGATAAGGTGTAGTTAGATGTTTTATTTTACTTTACAATGAACTTGGATACCGAGTACTTCAGGTACATACTTGAAGAGAGGCTCTTGGATTTGCACAGAACACATGCACCCTCCTGTATCATTACTAGGTTGGACAATAGCATGTAATGTGCAGTAGCATACACTCCACAAAATGAAATTTGTACCATTTTCATCAGTTTGATTGGTGCATGATTCCCTTAAGAAAATTAGGAAGCTTAAGACTTCTGTAACCTTTGGTGTAAAGCTTTTAATTTATTTATACGTTGCCTCTCAAAGAGAAATGTACCATTAAGAGGATATAATAGAAATGGAAAATTAGGCCCAGGAAAGGTGACTACAACATATGGCAACTGCAAAAGTCAAGAAACTTTTAATTTAAGCTCACAAAGACTCTACCTGATTATATATTTTAAACTTTTATTTTATAGGTTCCTCCTCTTTTTTTCTTTTTTTTCTTTGTATTGTGGAGAATTTCAAACATACAGTAGACAGAAGAGTGTAATGAATCCCATGCATAGATCACCCAGATTCAACATTTATCAATATTTTCCCAATCCTGTTTCATCTGTACCTCCACTTACTTCCCAGACATCAGATATTTTCATCCCTGAATATTTCAGTCATTCATATATTTTTACAAGTTATTTGAATCAAGAAAGTGAAGTTCACATATTTGTGACTGATAAGTCTCATGACTTTCAGTCTATAGGTTTTCTTCCCATCTCTTGTTTTTTTCTTTTTTGTGAAATTAGGTCATTTGTCCTGTAGAATTTCCTGTCTGGGTTATGCTGGTTATTTCCTCATAGTATCATTTTTCACATTCTTCTGAGTTCATATTTCCTCTAAATTGATATTTGGATGTAGAAATTTTATGAGATGCTGGTTCCTTTGGACTGCAGAGTACAATTTTAAATAAGCTACTGAACCATTTCACGATACCGTAAGTAAGTATAAATTAATATGTTTACTTATATGATGGGTAAGTGTGTGTTTAAATTGATCATGTTTCAAAAACTATATGTTTATTCCCTAGGATTTCAAAGGAAGTTTTGTCTATACCTACACCTTTAATAGGTCGTACTGTTTCCTGTTGTAGTCTTTTTTTTTTTTTTTTTTTTTAATTTATTTTTGGCTGCGTTGGGTCTTCATTGCTGTGCGCGGGCTTTCTCTAGTTGCAGCAAGCGGGGGCTACTCTTTGTTGCGGTGCGCGGCTCTAGGCTCGTGGGCTTCAGTAGTTGTGGCTTGAGGGCTCCAGAGCGCAGGCTCAGTAGTTGTGGCACACGGGCTTAGTTGCTTCGCGGCATGTGGGATCTTCCCGGACCCGGGCTCGAACCCGTGTCCCCTGCATTTGCTGGCAGATTCTTAACCACTGTGCCACCAGGGAAGCCCCCTGTTGTAGTCGTGATGCTGTCTATTTCTCTGACATACTTCTGTTGGCAATGCCAGATTGCATTTGCTATAGGGTGGAATGTCTCTGGAAATGTCTGAAGGGTCAGTTTTCTTACCTGGTCTCTATTATAGATTTTATAGCCACTTTTGCTTCAAACGTCTGCTTTTTTTCCTTCTAATTCTGTAGTTTTCCTTTATATAGTATGACAGAGAAGGCCACGGGGAACTTTTAGATCTTTTAAAGAATCAATATTAATATTTTAGGTTTTGTGCAAATATACTGAGACCCTGAGGGAAACATCAATTAGGACCTTAGGTGTTTGGTTAAAAGGCTTAGGCCTTTCTTGCTGAGCCCCCCGTGCCAGGGCAAATTGGATTATGTTCAGGAAGAGGCAAGGGATCAACCTGTGTTAGGAGCTGTTAGCAGATGAATAGGAAGATGACACAGAGGACATGTTCATTAAATAATTACTGAGTGATTGGAGAAGACAGCTTGAGTGGGAAATAACTACATGATGAAAGAAAAGTTCCCACAAACCGGAAGCTAAGTAAGGAACCAAGGTATTGGTTAGACACAAGCATAAAGTCAGGGGGGAAAAGATAAGGAACTTCACCTAAGAGAGGAAATTCCTCACCTGACCACCCTACCAGTGGGAAAACGAACTTCCATCCAAAGGAGATGCTCAGCCCATCTCCTTTCCCCACAGGCGTCATCAGCAAATGGGCTGTATTGCAAACCCGCAACTCATAAGACTCTTTTATGGAATTATTAAACATAAAAAGCAGAAGGTTTTTTGTTTTTTGGGGGATTTTTTAGTCAGAAAAGTGGGGAGAGGTGTTGCTTTTATTGTCTCCATAAATATTTATCGAGCACCTGCTAAGGGGAGTACAAAAAGTGGGAGAAAAATTTCTGCCTTTTATGTGCTTACTATCTGGCAGAGGAGACCTCAGAGCAAAAGCAAATAGCAATACAAGTTCCCCTTTGCACGCTACGTGAGTGTCACCAAGGAGCAGTGCTTCTGGAGTTCTATTCAAGAAATCTACAGCAGTGCTTCCCAAGCTTTAGGCTTCATGAATCAGTAAAATGTCCAGAAGATTTTGGGATCTGACATAAGGTTGCCAAGTTTTTCTGCTAATTAACTTATAAGAAGTACTCGTATGTTGTCCTAATTTTTCTCAGTTCACCTCAAACCTGTGCCAACAGTCATAGGGCATCTGTGTTTTACAGTCATGAAAATAAACAGGTGTGGGCAACAAAGGAAGGACAATTGTTGGAAGTTTACATCTTCCATCCCTCCCCACTGCCGACCACCCAAAGGCAGGGATGGGGCCCAGTCACTGCTATTTGAGCAAAAGTGGCCCAGTCCTTGGTTTGGTTCCAGGACTTCTCCCAGAGTTTTTGTTAGCAGTTAGGAGAATCACCCACCTAGGAGTACAGGTTATCCAGAGAAGGTTAAGAATAAGTTTGGTTTCTTCAATTTAAGTGACCTCAATGCTCAAAGCATTCATTTTTAACCTGAGCTAAGACCCTGATCACACTTGGTTGGGGTTCTCATTGAAAGGCAAGCATCCTTTCACTTAACACCCTTAGTGGGAGTTACCAGTTGTTGGTGCTGACTGAGTGCAGTGGTGATAGAAATGCAAACAGGTCCGCTCAGTGAGGCTGGTGACTCTGAATACAGACCAGAGGACGCCAGCTTCTGTCTTTGTAAATGCTGAGCACTCATTCAAATACAGAATATTCCACTTT